GAACCGAGCACCAGGTCCACATCCCCTGATTCCCCTCCACCTGTAGCTCATTTACGAGACTAAAGGAGACGGGATTTGACAACCAGGTGTAGAGAAGCACGCATGCGTGGGAGACGTACTCTGAATCCAGAATATTAACTGGAGCCAGGACTCATTAATCAGCCAGTAATTAATGACACAGGGAATGGGCTTTTAAGGAAGCCCTCTGCACTATCCACCTTGTGCTGGCAACTCATCGCATGATTACATCACGGCACCTCTGACTTTGCATCTGGTTTCCTGACTCCCTGTTTGACTCCCTCGGCTATTTTTGGACTACGGACTGCATTGTCTTCTCGCTCCTCGACCCTGGAATTTGTACCTGGACTCTGTACAACGGCTTTACACCTCTAACTACGAAGCTCAGGTAACCCTGAACCTCTGCAAGTAATTTGATATCTTGGACTGTGTTTGTTTTCTCTGCCTCTCTGGTGCCCTGAACTCTGTCTGTGTTTACTGGATACTCTGTGCCTTGCCTGCCCACTTGGGCAATTGTGACACATGTGGCCTGGGGGCAGGATGAGGCCCCCGGAGGGCTTCTATCAAGCTTGCAGGGGAACTGGCTGTCTTCTGATTATTCTTCTTCCAGTTCTACTGCTGCTGCGTTATCATAGGTTTGCAGTTGACAGATACACACCTGAACAGGCATACTGTTGGATCCCCAAGCATCGAGAATAAATCCACGTTTTCAAGAAAAGCAAAATTTATTTCAAAGCGTTGGAAAGACACTCGAACACGTTCTTTGTTAGAACTGGGGATACACAGGTAGGGCAAGCATAATAAAGGAAATTCAAACAGACACAGATCCAATGAATAACATTCCCGCTGGCGGGCTAAAGAAACGGTTGCGCGCCCAGTCCATGAGAACCAGGCAGAACATCAGACAAAACACAGGTGCAGTTCCCAAGCGATAATCAGTGGCAAGCATTACAGCATCCTCTCCTCCACAAACCCTCCAGTAGATTATCTTAGGCATTCCAGCATAGAAGCAGAATAACAAGCCGGGTGCAACAGGGGAAGGATATGTACACAGAGGTCATAGAAACATAATGGCAGCTTGCTGACATACTGCCCCCCAAAAAATACATCTT